AGGAGGAGGAAGAACAGGAGGAGGAACAGGAGGAGGAACAGGAGGAGAAACAGGAGGAGGGAGGAGGGAGGAGGGAGGATGGAGGAATAATAATATTTCGAATTGCAATTACAATAACAATAATAATGTTAATAGCACGGATAATCAAAACACTCAAAATAATGCGAATTATACCAACATTCACAATACGAATGGTAGTAAGAGGACGAACAAGACGAAGCATACGAATCAAAATCATAATACAACTACGAAGAAGACGACCAGTAATATGCATCAGAAGACGAACACAACGAACGCGACTCTTAGTAAAAAAAAGTCTAGTCAATAATATTAAGAAGACGAATGCTAATACGACTCAGACGAACAAGGATGCCAGTACTAGTAGTAACAGTCATAATCAATCCAATACAAACTAGTTACTGGAATGATGGTTAATCAAATACGGATCATTATCCAAATCATGTTAATCCTAGTGACATTATTCATAACCGTATGATTAATACAAACCACGGTTATTTTTGCTAGTAGTATTAACACGGAGAATAGTAATTCACGAGTGCATTAATATTATTTCGAAAAGTACTAACAAAAAAAACGACTAAACTGAAGACTAATGAGACTAATGCGCCGAACAAATCATTGCGCATAAGAAGAATACTACGAAGACGATGCCTAAGAAGAAGAAGACTAATAAGACAGGGAGGATGAGCAGGAGGAGGAGGTGGGCGAGGAGTAGGCGGAGGAGGAGGAGGAGGGCGAGGAGACGGATGAGGAGGAGGAGGAGGAAGTGGCTGATTAGGAGGAAGAGGAGGGTGAGGAGTATGAGAAGGAGGAGGACAAGGAGGAGAACGATGGGGGACTGGAGGAACGAGGACAATGATGATGATGATGATGATGATGATGATGATGATGATGATGATGATGATGATGATGATGATGATGATGATGATGATGATGATGATCATGATGATGCTACTGATTCTGATGATGATGATGATGATGATGATGATGATGATTTTTATTATGATGCTGATGATGCTGATGATGATGATAATGATGATGATGGTAATGGTGGTGGTGGTGGAGATGATGGTGCTGCTGCTGATGATGATGCTGATGCTGATGCTGATGATGATGCTGCTGCTTCTGATGATGATGATGGCGGTGGCGATGATGATGATGATGATGATGATGATGATGATGATGATGATGATGATGATGATGATGATGATGCTGGTGCTGATGATGATGCTGCTGATGATGCTGATGACGATGATGATGCTGATGATTCTGATGATGGTGCTGCTGATGATGATGCTGATGATGCTGCTGATGATGACCAGGCTGATGATGATGAGGATGCTGATGATGATGCTGATGATGATGATGATACTGATGCTGATGAGGATGAAGGTGATGCTCATGCTGATGCTGATGCTGCTGCTGATGATGATGTGGCTTGATGATGATGATGATGATGATGATGATGATGATGATGATGATGATGATGACGATGGTGATGATGATGCTGATGCTGATGCTGATGCTGATGCTGATGATGATGATTATGTTGATGATGATGATGATGATGATGATGATGATGATGATGATGATGATGATGATGATGATGATGATGATGATGATGATGATGATGATGATGTGATGATGATATGACGATGATGACGATGATGATGATGATGATGATGATGATTATGATGACGACGATTATGATGCTGATTGATGATTATGCTGATGATGATGATGTCTGATGATGATGAGTATGGTGATGATGATGCTGAAGTCTGATGATGATGTGAATGAGGATGATGGTGGTGTGGTTGGTGGTGGTTGGTGGTGATGATGATGATGAATGATGATGATGATGGCGATGATGGTGGGGATGATTGATGATGAAATGATGATGGATGATGATGCTGATGATGTGATGTGATTGTGATGGTGATGATGATGTGATGATGATGATGATGAAATGATGCTGATGATGATGATGATGAGATGATGTGAGATGAGGATGAGGAGAGGATGAGGATGAGGATAGGATGAGGATGGGATGAGGTGTGATGATTATGATTGATGATGATGATGATGATGCTGATGATTAATGAGGAGGATGAGGAGGAAGGGGAGGCGGAGGAGGAGGAGGAGGGGAGTAGGAGGGAAGGAGGAGGAGGAGGAGTAAGAGGAGGTGGAAGTGGAGACTTGAAAATAGGGAAACATAGGATACATGAGGAGGAGGCCGGAACGGGAGGAGGCGGAGGCGGAGGAGGATACGAGGAGGATCAATGATGAGGGAGGATGAGGAAGAGAACGGTGAGGTGAGGAGGAGGAGCGGGGGCGGAGCAGGAAGAGGAGGAGGAGGAGGAGGAGGAGGAGGAGAGGAGCGGATGAGGAAAAGGAGAGAGGAGGAGGAGGGGGAGGAGGAGGTGGAGGAGGATGAGAGGAGGAGGAGGAGAGGAGGAGGAGGAGGAAGGAGGAGGAGGAGGAGAGAGGAGGCGGCGGAGGAGGACGACAGGCGCATACCAAGGAGCGCGGAGGATTCCGAGGATACGACAGAACGACGAGAGGCAGCGGTGGAGGAGGAGGAGGAGGAGGTGGATGAGAAGCAGGAGGAAGGAAGAATAGGAGGAATAGGAATGATACGAACAATACCCTTGCTATTCATACTAGTAGGAGGAATACGACGAATAATATTAGAAGGAGAATCTGAACACTAGTGAGAGGAGGAGGAGGAGGCGAGGAACGGAGGAGGCGGAGGAGGCGGGGAGGAGGAGGAGGGGAGTGATGGAGAGGAGGAGTACTATTAATACAAGGATCAGGACTAGGAGGAGGAAGGAAGGATGAGGATGAGGAGGAGGAGGGAGGAGGAGGAGGAGGGGAGGAGGGGAAAGGAAAGGAGGATAAGTAGGTAGGAGGAGGAGGTGGAGGAGGAGGAGGAGGAGGATGAGGAGGAGGAGGATCGCGTAGAGGAGGAGGAGGAGGAGAGTCAGGAGGAGGAGGACGAGGAAGAGGAAGAGGAGGCGAAGGAGGAAACGGATGCGGAGGAGGAGGCGGAGGCGGAGGCGGAGGAGGAGGAGGAAGCGGAAGCGGAAGCGGAGGCAGAGGCGGAGTCGGCGGCGGAGAAGGAGGAGGAGGAAGAGGAGGAGGAGAAGGATGATGATGATGATGATGATGATGATGATGATGATGATGACGATGATGACGATGATGATGATGATGATGATGATGATGATGATGATGATGAGGATGATGATGATGATGATGATGATGATGATGATGATGATGCTTGACTATGATGTGAGGAGATGTGATGATGATGATGATTATGATGATGATGATGATGTATGATGATTATGATAGATGATGATGATGATGATGAGGAGGTGATGACGAGATGATGTGATGATGATGATGATGATGATGATCTGATGATGATGATATGATGATGATTATGCTGATGATGTGATGATGATGATGAGATGATGGAGAGTGTGATGCTGACGATGATGATGGTGCTGAATGATGATGATGATGATGATGATGTGATGAATGGATGATGCTGATGCTGATGTGATGATGATGATGATGATGATTATGGTGATGAGGATGATGATGATGAGATGATGATGATATGATGATGATGGTGATGATGATGATGATGGGATGATGATGATGATGATATGCTAATGATTATGATGATGGTGATGTGATGATGATGATGATGATGTGATGATGATGATGATGATGATGATGCTGATGCTGATGATGATGATATGAGGCTGCTGATGATGATGATATGAGGAATGCGGGGGTGACGAGGGAATGCTATGATGAAGACCACACCAAAACGAAGACAACACGAAGACGGACGAAGACGATGATTGATGATGATGATGATGATATGATGATGCTGACGATGATGATGGTGGTTGATGATGATGATGATGATGATGATGATGATGTGTGAATGAATGATTGCTGATGATATGATAATGAGATGGTGATGATGATGATGATGATGATGATGATGATGATGATGATGAGATGATGATGATGATGATGAATGACGATGACGATATGATTTGGATGATGATGATGATGATGATGATGATGCTGATGATGATGATGATGATGATGATGCTGATGATGATGATGCTGATGATGATGATGATGATGATGATGATGATGATGGTGATGGTGATGCTGATGATGATGATGATGATGATGATGATGATGATGATGATGATGATGCTGATGCTGATGATGATGATGATGCTGATGATGATGATGACGAGGATGCGGGGGGGAAGCGAGGAGGATGCGTATGAGGAAGACCAACACCAAAACGAAGACAAGCACGAAGACGACTATTAATATTGTTAGTGGTAGTAATACACGTGGAAGTAGTACTAGTAATGATGATACGTAATGGTAATCGCCATCATGATCTGAGTAATCGTACTTTAGCAGCAAGAAGGTGAACACGGCACCTTATTCTAACGCGATAGCACTATTCAGGGTAATGCGACGGATGCTACAACCACGGTTACACCTATTATTAATATTTTGACGAAGATTGACCTTACGTTTCAGATTAATGCGGCTACTGGACACTATTAGTACTACTCATGATACAGCTAGTTGGACGTGTAATACTAGTAATAATGAGAAGAAGTCGATTCCTAAATTATTTGAATATTACAACTAATCAGAAACCTAATCATACTAGAACTAGTAGTAAGCATACTAATAGTGATTTTACTCACAATGGTACTAGCACTACTGCTAATATATTGTTAATGCTAGTAACACTCATACTGCAAGTACTATTACTACTAACAAGTAATACTACTGAATAGACGAATACCAATGACATCAATCATACTACTCTTAATGAGCGTAAGAATGCGACGAATCATGCTAATACTAATAATCGTAATGCGAAGCAGAAGAGGGGGAGGAGGAGGATAAGGACGGCGAGGAAGCCGTTTGGGCTCCAGCGGGGGGCGGCTCGGCCTCGTGAGCCCAGGCCCAGCCTGCCGGTTGGGAGCGCCCGTGCGGCCGCCCCCTGCATGGCGCAGGCCGCATGGCCCAGCGACGCTCGCTCCCCGCGGTGTGCGTCCTGGCGGGCACGCGGCTCGCTGCGGGGCAGGCCCCTGCGGACGGGCAGGGTGCCCCCCGCGGCCCCGCGTGGGCGCCCTGCTGGGAGAAGTACACCCGGGAGGATCGATCCGAGGAGCAGGAAGTGGTGATAGTGATAGGAAGCCCCCCGCAGCTGCGGAAAGGGCGAGGGGGCTGGCGAGGGGTGGGTCGAGGGTGGGTCGCGGGTGGGTCGCGGGGTGGGTCGCGTGTGGGTCGCGGGGTGGGTCGCGGGGTGGGTCGCAGGTGGGTCGCGGCGAGGACGCCGACAACAACAACGCAACAACAACAATTTTTTCCACCTCAGCCACGCACCCATGGACAAAGAATGACCGCTTGGCCTCCTCACTCTGACGTTTCAACGTGTCCCAGATTTTCCTGGATTTCTCCCTGTTCCGGACGAGCTCCAGAACGAGCGAGCTCCAGAACGAGGGCCGCTAGGTAGTCTGGAGATCCTGGAACGTATCCTGAGCCAGCGCCATCATGACAGTCTTCGCTCTACCAAGGGAAGAGGACGCGGCACAGACCTGAGCTTTCGGAGGTCCGCGCGGACTCTCTCGAATCGGCGCTGGACCCCAGCGCGCGGGGCGGCGGCGCCAGAAGCGCTGCCAAGGGGGCCCAGCGTTAAGTCGGGCCTGTCCCTCTACAGGGGGAATATTCAAAAAAGATACCCCAGTACGACCCTACCTAGGAGTTGGAGCATTTAGGAAAGCAACATCTACATCTACACCGACAGCTACAATTACATCTACACCTGCATCTACATCTACATCAACATCAACAGCGAGACTCACATCTACATCTACATCTACACCTACATCTACACCTACATCTACATCTACATCTACATCTACATCTACATCTACATCTACACGATAACACCTACATCTATCGGGCCGGGCGAACAGGGGGGTGATTGGGAAGGGGGGGTTTACGAATTGCTGCTGCACTGGTTTCGTCTTCACCGAGGGGCCCATTCCGCGATACATAGCCGCCTCCGGCGCCGGAGGCGCCGGGAAAGATCAGTTTCTACGCGAGCTGAGTTCTCCACGCCCCCCCTATGCTATCCCCACCTTTCGCCCGACCGCATCTTAGGCTGCGTCTTGGCGCTATGCTATGCTATGCTATGCTATGGTATGGCTATGCGAAGATATGCTCTGCTGTGCTATGCTATGCTGCTCTGTGCTATGCTAAGCACTGCTATGCTATGCTATGCTAAACTATAATATGTCATGCTGCGCTATGCTATGCTATGCGATGCTATGCTAATTCTGCGCTGCGCTGCTATGTGGCGCTGCGCTAAGCTAACTAAGGTACGCTAAGGGCTATGCGAGCTAAGCTAAGCTAAGCTAGGCTAGGCTAAGCTAAGCTAAGCTAAGCTAGCATAAGCTAAAATGAGATAACCTAAGCTAAGCTAGACCTAACTAAGCTAAAGCTTAAACCCAGGCCACGCTACGCTAACTTAGCTAGACAAAGCTAAGCTAAGCGCTAAGCTAGCAAAGCTAAGCTAAACTAACTAAGCTAAGCTAAATGAGAGAAGCTAACTAGCTAAAGCTTAGCTAAGCTAAGCTTGGGTGAACCCAGGGGCCAACTGGGAGAACCGCAGGGGCGGGACCGGGTGGAACCGCCTGGGGCGAGGAACACTGCCCGGCCCTTTTAAGCTAATAGAGTAAGAACCCTCTAGGCAGAGCCTAGGTAGGGAATAAAAAATAGTCTGGGGACAATTTTTTGAGTATTTGTTTGACCATTTTGGGGGTACTTTTTGAGAATTTTCTATCTCTCGTCGAAAATTCCCCTGTAGGGGGACACGACCGACTTCAGCCCAGCGCCGATCCGAGACGCTTTGCCGGCTCCCCTTGCTCCTCCGGAGGAGTGCTGCGGGCCCGACGGCGGGCAGCGCAGGGCCTCCTGCTTCGACTCGGTCTTCACCGCCAGGGAGTGCTGCGCCGGCGACGGCTGCGGGAGGACGCCAACTGAGATGATGGGCCTGTTTTCCACCACCACCACCAGAAGTTGCATGGGGAGAAGGAGGAGGAGGAGGACGAGGAGGAGGAGGACGAAGAGGAGGAGGAGGAGGAGGAGGAGGAGGAGGAGGAGGAGGACCCCCACCCCCCTCCAACTTCTGGTGGTGGTGGTGGTGATGGAAAACAGGCCCATCATAAGAGCCAGCACCGATGCTGGCTGGGCTCAGCTTGGGCCCAGGATCGGTGTAAACGCCGTCGTGGCTGGGGCAAGAACCAGCCACGCAAAGAGGGGGTGGCAGGGGGAGGGGGGAGGGCTTATGGAAGCACCCCTGCTTCTCAGAAGGCGCGGGCCTCGTCTCTTAATGCAGGGCCGCCGCCTTCTAAGGAGCAGCCTCTTTCTAATCTACCCTCGTGCTCGCCGCCAGAAGAAGGCACCTACGGCAGGTTCGGGTCGTGTCGACTGTCGGCGAGCCCGCCGCCGGCGTTCAACGTTGAACGCCGCCAGCGACCCAGAATCAGTCGACGTTGAACGATCGGACGTGTTGGAGACGGCCACTCGCTCAAGGTTGAACGATTCCCGCGGTGTCAGGATTCAACGCCGGGGTCGACACGACACGACTCCGCGGTACACCAATCTTGGGCCCCGGATCGGCCTGGCCCAGATCGGCGCAGGCGTGTGTGCATCTCAGGCGATCGCAGACATGGATCGAGGGGGCGTGGATGAGCGACGGGCCCCGCTTCCCTGGGAAGTCGCTGCCTTCCGCCGCCGACCGAGGCGGCACCGGCCGCACTTTTGGGGTGGGCACCTCCCCGATCCGTAGCTGTGGCCAGTCCATGGGGCGCCGAGCCGTGCGTGCGCGGCCCCGAGCGTCGCCGGTGCCCCCTCCCCCGAGGCTGGGCGCGCCTGTCTCCGGAGGCGGAGCCCACGGAGACCGCCTGGGAGGACGCGGCCCGGTGGCTGCAGGGGGGCCTGCTGACGGAGCCGCCCCGTGGGCACCCCGCCTACAGCCGTGCGCAGCGCCGGTGGGAGGCCGGCATCGCGAACGCGACGGTGCTGCTCGCGGAGGATCGGAGGAGCGAAGAAGGAACACGCCACGAGCAGAAAGCTCTCGGCGCTTCGCGCGGACTTCTCAGATCCGCGCCATGGACACCCCTGGCGGCGCCTCCGGCGCCGTCCCTGGCGCGCTTCGCGCGCCGGGGAGGGGGGGTCCAGCGTGGATCCAGGAAATCCGTGCGGAGCGCCAATCTTTGGTTCGTTCTTTGTTGTGCAAAACATGCACAGCCTTGCAGACAATAAACATACAGGCGCGAACTTTCGGAGGCTCGGCGCGGAGCTCCAGAAGCTTGTGCTTGCGCGGTTTGTTGCCAGAGGTTCTCCTGGCCCAGGGCGCCCCTCGTTGTTTTTTCGCTCCTTCCTCTGGAGCCCCTGGGATCCTCGGGGCCTCGTGAGGGGCTCTCTGGAGGCCGCGGGGGCCTCTCTGGAAGTCCCGTGGGCACCCTGGGCCAGGGGCTCTTCTGGCAGCACCCGGCTGCTGCTGCTTCCGAGGAAGTCCTCGGGCACCGCGTCCAGCTGCGGGTGTTCAAGCGCTCGGGGCCCGCCCTGGCCAAGATGCTGGAGGCGTCAGCAGCGTCTGACACCAACCTTTCCCCATCCCCACTGGGCCACGATATCCCATCCCCACTAGTTGGCGCCGGGCGGGGAGGGGAAGCGAGAAGGAGAAGGCCTTCTCAGAAGGCGGCGGGACTTCTCAAAAGCTCTCGCGCCCTCTGAGAAGTATTCTGCGTCTTCGGGTAAGGCTGGAAACACTTCTCAGAAGGCTGGGTGGACTTCCGAGCCTTCTGAGAAGGCCCGCCCCTTCGCACTTCCCCCCGAGCTCGCCGCCGCACCAGCCCACCCTCCCAGGTGGGGACGGGCCCCGCAAAGCCCGAAGGAGAAGGCCTACGTCTAAGTCGGGCATGTCCCTCGACAGGAGGGAAGTTCAAGAATAGTTAAAACACAGTCTGGACGAGTTTTCGATTCTTTTCGAGCATTTTGGAGTACTTTAGGGTCATGTTTTGTGTTTCTTCCAGAATCCGCCTGTAGGAGGACATGCCCGACCTAAACCTACGTCCCCACCTAGGTGGCGAAGTCGGCCAGTGGTCCGAGGTGGGGATCTACCCACAACCGCCGCCTGGAGGATTGATTTTCGCGGGGCACCACAGGCGTTGGATAATAGATAGATTTGGGCACCGGAGGCGCAACATGTAACTATGCAGATTTATTGCCCGCTGCCGCTGGGCCGCAGGACGTCGGTTCCCAGGCGGTGGATGTGGACCAACCCCTGCCTCGTAAGTGTGGCCCAGGCCGCGCCAGTGGGGATAGAGATCGGTCAATCCATGCTGGAGGAGATGCGCGAGGACCTGTACCGCCTGCGGCACGCCGCGCCGCTCCCCGGCGAGTCGACCACTCCCGTGGCGGTGGATGTGGGCGCGGCCGTCGGGGCCACGGCCGTGCTGCTGGCGAAGCTCTGGAGCGGCGCCCGCGTGGTCGCGGTGGAGCCCACGCCGGCGAACTTCCGGTACTCAAATTAAGTCAGGCATGTCCCTCTACAGGAGGAATGTTCAAAAATAGTCAGAAATTAGTCTGGGGACAATTTGTCAACGTTAAAGCATATTCTTGAGCATTTTTTGGGTATTCTTATTTTCCTTCAACGTCCGCCTGTAGGAGGACATGTCCGACCTAACACTCACGGGAGGAAAAAGGTAGCGATACCGCTCTTCTTGCCTTTCTTTCGCCTTCGTGGGCCTGCTGGGGAGGCCCTCGTCGCCTCCGCTGGATTCGCCTCGGAATTCTGGTCAGAACGCACCCTTGGAGAGGTCCAGGGTGTATCGAAGAAGAAAAAACGGCATAAGCATAAACTTTCGGCGCTCAGCGCAGAGCGCCAACAAATTACGTTTCTGCCCCGTGTCTTTCCTTCCTCTAGGGCAGCGGTATCGGTACCTTGAGTGTCCCCAGGTATTTGCTGTGGAACCTGCGCCTGAACGGCGTCGCCGCTCGGGTCTGGCCGCTCAATGTGGCCGTGGGCCCCGAGCCGTCCGCGGCGCAGGTCTTCTACTATTCGGCCGCCTGCGGCAGATCCCCTGTCACCGCACCACCGCGGCAGCGCAGCGGGAGAGGTTGAGTTCGCAAGACCCGGTCCAGTTGAGCGCTCCGTCGGGGCTGGTTCGGGCCTGAAGCGCACTCTCGTCGGCAGCCTCGTTCTTCCTCCCCCCTTGTTGTCACCTTGGAGGTCCCTTCGGGGGCTTCCTCGGAGCCTCTCGTGGGGGCTTCTCGGGGCCCTCTCGAGTACCTTTGGGGTGGGGGCAGTCGGGGGTATCGGTTCGTCTTGGGTGCGATGGTCGTGCTGGCACTGCGGGTCTCTGTTTAACACTCTCTGGGGCGGTCTGTAGCCGAGAAGCTTCGGAAGCTCTCAAGGCATTCCGTGTCTTCGGCCTCCTAGTGCACCAGTGGAGGCATTCTTGGGAGTCTCCTGGGGGCTTGTGGGGACCTCTTGGGGGCATTTCGAGCCCTCTGGGACCTTCCTGGGCCGTGGGGCCGTCTTAGGTTGGTTGTATGGGATCTTACAGTCATTTCGGAGCGATGTTCAGGTATTTTGGAGCCGTCTGCAGGCCGAACGGGCACCAGGGAGCCAAAACCTGGAGGGTGGACGACTATACCCAGGGGCCCACCAGGAGGGGGGGGCTCTGGCGTTAGGTAGTGGGGGGGCGATAAATGGGGGGATGAGGCAAGGTGCACGTTTTGTGCCCTAGAGCGGCAGGGGCCCCCATGGTGCCCAGCAGGGGCATGAAGGTGCCTGCTTCTCCCCACCTCATTTAACGCCCCCCATTAGTGAACGCCCGAGGGGGGAGGGCCTAGGCATTGGCCATCATGTTGCTTCTCCCGTTAGGAGCCTCCTTCTGATGCGGTGAAGCCGGCGCATAGGTTTGACTGCCGGCATGGGCCGACCAGGAGCTCGTTTCCGCCACCCTGCCAGACAGCTGGCAAGCATTCCAGCATTCCACTGCCGCGTCAGCTCCAGACCCGACCCCCCCCCTCAGGGCAGCCCCTCTTCGCCTCAGAGATCGGCGTCGCGAGGCCCTCGGGGCCGGCAGAGGCGGGCCCTCCTGGAGGCCGAGGCCCCGGGAAGAGCCCGCCGAGATCTGTGAGACGGAAGCGGCCCCCTTTCGGTGTCTGGGGCGCGGTGGGCGGATTCCCCGACCTACCCCACCTGGTCCCAGGCCTGCGGCGCGGACTGCGCTCCCTCGGCGGCCGACGACGAGTGGCGCGGGGGCTGGACCGACTGGCAGGAGCGGTTCCAGGCGGAGGTGCTGACGCTGGCCGAGGTGCCGGCCGGCAGCAACGGCGACGGCGACGGCGACGCGCGGCGGCGACGGCGACGACGGCGGCGACGGCGGCGAAGCCATCGGCGGCGGCGGCGGCCGAGGTGCTGGCCGGCCTGGGCCTGCCCGGGGCGGTGCACCTGCTGAAGGTGGGGTTGGCGAGGGCTGCTCACCGAGCGCGTCCCACTGCTCGCAAAGTGCCTACTCGCAAACGCCAGGAAACACACACATTCCTCTTCCTATATTTTTATAAGCCCGGGCGGGGGGGGAAACCCGTCCCCCCCCCCCCAAACCGGACTCCCGGGATTTTGGGCGTTGGGACCCTCCGGACGGGCCTCGAAGCGGCTCCCCGGGCCTCGCAGGTCGTTTCGCCAAGCATTCCCAGCACCCGAAGACGGCCCCAGACGGGTTCCAGGCGTTCTGGCGCGCTCCCCTAACGACCCCAGAGAGCCCCAATACGGTCCACGACGACGCCCACGAAGCCGTCATACCCCCAAAGATCGCTCCGAAGCGTCCCAAGAGGCCTCCAAGAGCACTCCCAAGAAGGACCCAAGCGGCAAACACATGTTATTTATTCCGTTGGTTTTTTGGTGAATTTTGGGGTTATCCTCTTTTCGGCTTCCCGACGCTCCAAGACGGCGGTCTTCTGGGCGTCCGAAGCCGCCTGGGAGGCTCCAAAATCGCCCCACAACTATCCGAAAGGGCTTCCAGGCAGTCCAAGACAGCCCCAAAACGGCACAACAGGGGTCCAAGGTGGCCCTAAGAGTGCCCCATGGCGGCCCAAGATGGCCGGAAGACACGCTCTGAAGCATTCCAAATCGTGACCCAGTCATTCAGGGAGACCGCGGTTGGAGGCAGGGTGGCCCGAGGAAGCCCCCAGAGGACCGCCCAGGAGGCCTCCAAAAGGCCTTGAGAAAGCCTGACAAATTTTGTGAGGCCCTCAGAGGCTCTCCAAGGAGGAGCCTCCGCAAAAAAGAATAGAGGAGGATGGGGAGAATGCGCAGGGTGTTGCGAGAATGAAGAAACAGAAGCGTGGAGGAAGGATAACCAATAACATTATGATAACGACGATGCCGGAAAAGGCAACAAGGAGTTATCGCTAAATTGCCGGTTTGACCTTCTGCCATCCCGCCTGCATGCCGAACTTTAAGGGCCAAGGTGCATGGTGCGAAGCGCCAATGCAGTCTTGTATATATAGATAGATAGATGATAGATATGTATATAGATATATATAGATATATATAGATAGATAGATAGATAGATAGATATATATATATATAGATACATATATATAGATATATCTGCTTCGATGTAATGTATCGCAGATCCCCCGTGGCGGATCCAGGCCACTTGCGAGTAGTCACTTTGCGAGCAGTGGGACGAATTATCCGTCAGTTTCGGTCTCTTGGGGCCCTGCCTTCGGGGCCCAGGGGGGCAGTAGCGAACCCGGTCCAGCAGGAGCAGCCTGTCCGGGGAATCTCAATTCGGCCCCGCTGTGTTCTTACACTTCGGCTTACGTGCCCCAGGGCCATCAATGCACAGATCTCGGAAGAACCGCTGTACCCAGGGATGTTGCGAGGGCGGTGGATCAGGCGTCTTAGATGGGGTCCAAGTAAATGGGGTCGGAGGATCGCGCCGCATCGCCGATGCATCGACGATGTGGCTCGATGTGGAGTCCGTTTGTCCCCACGCCGATGTCGGGGATGCGTCGCCGACGTCGCCGATGCATCGCCGATGCATTGCCGATACATCGGCGATGCATTGACGCTGCGGCGCGATCCTTCGACCCCATCTACTCGGACCCCCTCTAGGAGGCCTCTAATTTCTGGACTTCCTGGGAAGCTCTTGTCGCAACTATTGGATTTCCGTCGAAATTCTGGCTGTTGTGTGCTGTGGGAGGGTTCGGGGGGTCGAGTTTCGACGCCCCGCCCAGACCCCCCCACCTCGTGAGGGAAGAGCAATGGGATTTTTTGGTAGTCTTCGGCCTCCTGGGAATCTTCCTGGACTCAGGCAAGCAGGCAAGAAGTCGTACACCCGGAGGTGCGTACGAATGTGGAAACATGTGGGAACTCAGCATCAACAGTATGCACAGCATTCTGCACTACAGCTGCAATTCTGTCGTATGCACAAAATGCCGCCAAGGGGCTTCATTCGTCAGGAAAAGATCAGTCAAACAACGATCCGATACGATTATCTTCGCGAAGGATCCAAGCCTAGTCTAGTCGAGCCTGTATGCCCACAGGAGGCGGCCACGTAGGGCACAGGCAGGTAAAACAGCAACTCGTTGCGGCCAGCGTAGCATAAGATTGTGCGCTGATCAGTTCAGGTGGAGGAGGGGGAAGGAGGAGGGAGGAGGAGGGGGGGGGGCGAAGAAGTCAAAACTATCAAGCACTCACGTAACTCAGGACCCCTTCCTCTGTGCGCTTCTATGCATGTGCGTCTCTGGCTGGCACTTTCCAGTCGCCGATCCCAAACTCAAGGTAGAGTGATTTCACGTCGCATTATGGTTCCACATGGCGATTACTCAGTACCACGTGAGAGTCATCTGTGAGAAGGAAGGTTCGCAGCGTACTCCGCGAAATTCCCTCGTTGGCGTAACATCACGTCTGACAACTACGTGATTAACTCGAGTACCATCCATCTTGGCGGAGGGCCAAACACATGCATCCATGAGCATCACAGTTGAGATTATCGTCTTCGGTGGAGCTCACCATGGGGCAATGAAGCGTGTGAGTGGCCTGCGGACTGTGCCGCTGGGGCCTTCGGTGGAGCTCCCTCAGGGGTCATAGGCGGGGAACCCATTGCAGACTTTGCCAGTGCGGCCTTCGGTGGAGCTCCTTTTGGGGCCTGGAAACGTGTCAATGGTCTGCCGAAGTGGGCGATACGGCCCACATGCGGACTGTGCCAGTGAGACCTCCGGGGGAGCTCCCTATGAGGCCACGAAATGTTTAAGGGGTCTGCCAACGAGCGGGGCGGCCACATGCTGACTGTGCCACTGGGACCTTTGGTAGAGCACCTTATGGGGCCACGAAACGTGTGAGGGGCGCGCCCAACTTATTGGGGCGGCCACACTCGGACTGTGCCAGTGGGACCTTCGGTGGAGCACCCTTTGGGGCCAAGAACTATGTCAGGAAACTTGTGTGGTGGCCACATGCGGACTGTGCCAGTGGGGCCTTCGGTGGAGCTCTCCATGGAACCTTTCCAACGTGTCAGGGGTGTGCCGACATGGGTCCTTGGGGTGGAACCCCCTGCAGGTCCACCGAACGTGTGAGGGGTCTGCCGAAAAGGGTGGGGTGGCACGTGTGGACTGTGCCCATGGGACCTTCGGTGCGGACTGTGCCACTGGGACCTTCGGTGGAGCTCCCTACGGGGGCACGAAGCGTGCGAGTGGTGCGCCGAAATGAGCAGGGCGGCCGCATGCGGGCTGTGCCAGTGGGACCTTCGGTGGAGTCTCTTGTGAGACCACGAAGCGCACGAGGGGTGTGCCGAAATCGACACGCGGAGGGCAGAGGCAGGGGTGGAAGGAGCGAGGGGGAGGAGGAAGGTGAGGTGGAGCGCAACGCTGCAGATTCAGCACGAGAACCCAATACCACAGGATGGTTGGGAAAACGCCAGCCCTGCGGAAGGTGTCAAAACCTCAGCGGGTCAGCATTGCGACACACATCGCGACGTTTGTGGTCTGGGGAGTGAGGCATCTTGACGAACAGAAGCATGCATAAGCGTAAGCTTGTGGATGCTCGCGTGGAGTTTGCGAGTCGGCGTTGCCCCCCCATCACCGCCTTCATTTTTAGGCCAACCAACCATGATCTATATATATATAGATATGTATGTCTACGCGTGCATGTGTGCATGTATTTATGCATGTATACATGTATGCAGGTATGCATGTATGCACGTATGAATGAGTGCACGCATATATGCATACATACATGCATGTATTAATTTGTGACAGTATATGTGGATGCGTGCATGTTTGCATGTGTGTATGTATATATGTATGTGCGTATGTATGCACATGTGAGTGAGTGTACGGCCTCTCCCGAGGCTCTCAGTGTGGAGCCAGGGCCAGTTGTGCCCTGGCGTGCAGGACAGGCCCAAATATGCCCTTTGTGCATGGCCCGGGTGGGGCCGGGACTGTGTGGAGCGGGCTTTCCCGCCATAGCTCATCAGGGGCTCGAGGTAGCATCGGGTACCGATTCGCATATCTGCATGGTGTCAGGTGTAGGATATCGAAGGCTAGTGGCGCCAATGCGCCATGGCAGCTGAGGCAGCAGCGGCGGGGGTGCAACTGCTAGATTCCAGAGGCGTCGGGAAGGTGCCGACGTTCACGGGCAAGAGGAAAGATTTCAGGATTTCGACGATTGGATCTTCCCGTTCGAGAGTTACTGCGGGCTGCCAGGCTGGACAGCGGGGCTGGAATTGACCAGAGACGCAGAGGAGCCGCTCGCTGTGGAGCAGGTCGGCGAGCAAGGAATGCAGGTCGGCAGGGGCCTGCATCATCTGTTGGCGAGCACGACGAAAGGCATCGTGAAGTTGTGCCAGAGGGGATGGCTTCGAGGCGATGAGGAGGCTGTGCAGAGAGTGCCGCCCAAGGCTGAACGAGGAGCACGGTCAGATGCTGCAGCAGATCCTGACGCCGCTCTGGTGGACGGATCGCGAGGGCAAGGAGCGCGACGTGGAAGTGCTGACAGCCTGGGACGAGCTGATATCCCGCTACGAGCGGGCGACGGGCGAAGAGGTCACGCAGAAAATGAAGACGAGCACGATCATGGCGCGCGCACCAGATGACGTGAAGACCATGCTGCGGTCGGTGCAGCGAGACGTGCGAAGCGACATCACGCAGATGCGGACCTGTATCTTCGAGGCAGTGATCGGCCAGAGTGGAGTGATTGCGAAGCCGCCGACAGCAGGGATAAGCAGCAACGACATGGACGTCGACGCTGTCTCCACGGGGACTGGGAAGCAGGGCGGCAAGGGCAAGTGCCAGCTCTGCAACATGACGAACCACACAGCGCGGGACTGCTACTGGCGAGACAAAGGAAAGCAGAAGGGTGACGGCAAAGTAAAAGGCGAGAGTTTCGGCAAAAACGGCAAAGGCAAAGGCAAGGACAGGTCCACATTCACAGGCAAGTTTGACTACTGCCACAAGACGGGCCACGACAAGGCAGACTGCAGGAAGCGTCTAGCCGACGAGAAGGCCAGAGGGAATGCCGCGATCGAGCAGGAGAGTGTGGGTCCGAAGACGGTTGCCAAGATGGAGTACGCAGACTTCGAGTGCGAGATCTGCGACGACGACCAGCTCTACTGCATGGCGATGAAGGCCGAGGGCGGCGACGCAGAGTGTTGCGGCATGGGCCTGAACGGGGCCGCCTTCATCGCGCTGGACACGGCGAGCGACTGCCGCGTCAGACTTCAGGCTGGGCGTCGCGGTATCAAAGCCGATCTTCTCGCTGCTCGAAGTGATGGACAAGGGCGCGGAGCTCTGGCTGAGCGCAAAGACGGGCATGTGCACGTGCCCGGGAGGCGACCTCACCAGGGGCATCCCGCTCACCAGGAAGAGCCGCACCCTGGGCTCCTATGCGAAGACCTTCAAGACGACGATGGAGGCGAAGGAGTTCGCAGCCAGCGTGAACGCCAACGAGCAGCAGGGGGAGTTCGTGCAGTCGCCCGGGGCCTCTGGCAGCGGAGGCGCGGCGGCAGCAGCGCCGGCGACGCCAGCAGCTGCAGCCGCATGGCGCGGACTTGGGCAGCCGTCAGCAGGAGAAGGAAGGGGACGTCTAGCTCGGCAACCCGTGGTGCTGCGTGAGGGGCAGGAGATCGCCCTGCGCCCAGACAGCCGCGTGGAGGACCTGCGGGCCAGGCTCAAGGAGCTGGGGCAGCCGATCTACGGCAGGAAGGACGAGTTGTAGGCGAGGCTCGGCGACGCTGAGCAGAGGCTCACGGCGCGCCGCGCGAGCATCGAGGAGCTGGAGCGCAGGCGCGAGGAGTCCGTGCAGGGAGGGCCATCGATTGCACCGCGCGAAGTCGCTGGACCAGCTGCGCCAAGGGAGGCGGAGCGAGCGGCGCGCGAACTTCTGCATCTCACGAGAGCTCCATGGTGCGAGGCCTGCGTGAGAGGGAATGGGGCGACCAATTCGTGCAGGCGCTCGCTCTCAACCAGAAGGGCGCAGGGGGGGCGCAGATCACCCTGGGCTTCTGCTACCTGAAGACCAACGGCGACTGGGCTGACATCGGGGGCGAGGAGCCGCCCGCGGCGGATATCATCGCGGCGACGCTCGTAATTGGAGACAGGGACGCGCTGATGTTCCACGCGGCTTCGATGCCGACCAAGGCGGTCGCTGGCTACGCGGTGGCCAGCGTGAGCAGCTTCATCGAGGGCGTGCATCTCGCCGCAGCGGGCGTTTAGACGGGCGGCGAGCCGACGATCCTGAACTTGGTGGAGGAGGTGCGCAATAAGCTGAGCAATGACATCAAGCTGGCGGAGAAGCGCGGGAACCTGAAGGGCAGTCAGAGCACGGGCGCGGTCGAGGCTCCGATCATGTGGTTTCAGGCGAAGGTAAGGACGTACAAGTTCGACGTGGAGAAGCGCTGCGGCATGAAGATCGCAGCGGGCGCGCCGATCTGGTGCTGGCTAACGAGATGCACTAGTTGGGCAACCTCTACGTGCAGACCACGGGCCGATGGGGGGGCATCTCGTCGGGCAGCATTCGGGGTGACCCACAACGGCGAGATTCCTCCCTTCGCGGAGACGGCGCCCTTCAAGGTGCCGACCTCCCACGCGAGGCAGAGTGCAGCGACGTCGCTCAAGCGCAAGGGCAAGTCGAGCTTCGTGAATGGCGTCTGGATCGGGAAGCACAAGGAGAGCGGCGATCGCTTCTTCCTGGCGCCTGCGGGGTGGCATCGCGCCAGGGCCCGCGGGGGGCTGGGGCCGGCGCTGCGGACTGACGCGAAGCTCGCGAAGCGGTGGAGGCCTTGCCCCAGGAGGCGCGAAGCGCCGAGCTGTGCGAGCTGCTGCCCAAGATGCGGCGACCTCTACCTACGATCGTCCTGGCGGCAGCGGGGCAGTAGGCGAAGGCAGAGGCAGAAGCAGCGGCAGCGCCGGCGGCGCCGCGGCAGGGGGCGCCCGACCAGGGGGCGCAAGCGGCAGCAGGAAGCGCAGCAACACCGCTAGGGGCACCAGCAGGACCTGGAGGGGAAGCAGCGGCGGCCGCCAGACCTCAGGGGGAGAACGCGGTGGAGGAGGACGCGCCGATGACCCCGAGGGGCCAGGCCAGGCCCGCGGACGGTGAGGAATTCGGCTCACCGGGGGGGCCCGCAAGGGATGTTGACGCGATCTCGCTGGGCGACCCCGTCGACTGCAGCGCCCTGGACAACGTGGGCGCGGCGCCCTGCGTGGCGGCCGGCGGTCTGGGGCCCGCGGTGGAGCTCAGAGGGGGGCGGGGCGCGTTGGAGGTGTTGGCGCGCTACGGCGTCCACAGAGACTTCCCGAGGGGCGAGGGCGGGGAGTTCAAGCAAGGTGATCAAGGCGCGCTGGGGGCCGCAGATGCGCGGAGGTGTCTACAGGTGGAGGTGCGTGGCCCAGGAGTTCGAGTGGATGGAGCAGCGGGCGACGTGTTCGCGGCGGGCTCATCGGCGCAGACAGGCAGGCTGGTGGACTTCGCCAGCATCAAGGAAGAGCCGCGGGACCTTCATCGCGGACTGCGTGAAGGCATATTATCAAGCGCACCAGACGGAGAAGGTTTGCGTCTAGCCACCGTCAGAGCACTTGGCGATGAGATGGGCAGATCGACCGACGTCGTCTGGGCTTTGGGCGCGATGCTGCCTGGGCAGCGTGTGGCAGGCGCTGGGCGGGAAAACAAGGCTGCGAAGACGCTCAAGGGCGAAGGCTTCGAGAGGTGCGAGTGCCAGCCGCAGTTCTACCACCGCGAGGACAAGGAGATCCTGATCGAGGTGCGCATGGGCGATTACCATGGAGAAGGACCGATAAGGGACCTGGGCAGGACCGTCAAGAGGCCGAGAGAAGTGCTCGACCTGAAGGCGACGGGCGTCATCAGGCAAGGGCGCTGCCCTCACCTGAAGCGGGGCAGGTTGAGGCTCGTTAGCGGCGACGTGATGCTAGGGCCGAACGTCGAGCACATCGAGGACCTGATCTTTGTGGCGGGCATGGAAAGGCGAAGCCCGTGAAGGTGCCAAGCTTGACGGAGGAGGACCCGAACTGGAGTCCCGACTTGGATGACGTGCAAAAAGCGAAGTTCCTCACGGGTGTTGGGATCTCTCTTTAGATTTCCCCCGGCAGGGTACACATCCAGAGGGGCGGGCAGTTGCTGGCGCGGAACTCGAGCAAGCCGGCGGAGTCCGACAGGAAACGTTTGGTGAAGCTCGCGAGGTACCTGGAAGGGGCCAAGACGTACGGCGCGCTGCTCAAAAGGCCGGCGGCGAGCAAGCCAGGCGAGGTGAAGTTGCAGATGTTCACGGGCGCGGACTCCGCTACGTGCAAGGAAACACGAAGGGCGATGACTTGCGGCATCGCGAAGCTTGACGGGGTGCACTTCGCGGCGTTCGCGAGGGGGCAGGGGGCCCGGGCGACGTCATCTGGAGAGGCGGAGTTCTACAGAGCGATCTCGGTGGTGATGGGCGGCAAGTTGGTCAAGTACGTGCTGGAGTGGCTGGGCTACCAAGTGACCTGGGAGCTGGGGATCGACAGCAGCGCGGCGAAGGCGATGATCAACAGAGATGGCGTTGGCAAGGTGGAGCGCCTGGACGTCAGAGCACTGTGGACCCAGCGGGAGCGGAAGGTGCGCGGTCTCATCGTGAAGAAGGAGAGTGGGGAAAATAACGTGGCCGACCTGGGCGCGAAGGCCCATCCAGTGGCGAGGTCCGAGTGCCTGCGAGGACTGGCGGGCATCGTCGATTGCAGTGAGATTGACAAGCGCAAGGAGCTGGAGGCGTGCGCGGTGGCGACGAGCAGGAACTGGTCAAGGAGAGGCCTGCTGGCCACCTTGCTGGCGCAGGGGGCTGCGGAGAGTGCGACGGCTTCGACGTGCGCAGCGGAGAGCTACAAGCCGGGGGCCGCCGACCAGGTGGCAGCGGCGATCCAGGACACGATCTACGAGTACACGGGGCACAGCATGACTCTGATCATCGCGGTGGTGTTCCTAGGCGGCATTCCGTGCGGGTATTGCTGCAGGAAGCTGATGGAGCCACCCGAGGTGAAGTACACGGACAAAACGATGCAGATATGCGGGAAGGGCAGCAGCGGCCCGATCGCAAACGGGAAAGCAAACATGAATATTACGAATAACCCGATCATGCTCGACAGGACGAGCTAGGCTCCGTTTGCGTACAAGTGGCAGCACCAGCAGCCGAGGTTCGTCCCACTGCCAGAGGCGAGCCACGGCTGAGCACGAGACGGAGGCGTGCCAGAGCAAGGGCGAGCTTGAGGCCTATGGCCAGGAGCTGGCCGCCGCTTCGGACGAGGCGCCGTGGGGGTGTCCACATGTGAGTGAGTGTACGGCCCCTCCCGAGGCTCTTAGTTGGAGCCAGGGCCAGGCGTGCCCTGGCGTGCAGGACAGGCCCAAAGAGGCCCTTTGTGCATGGCCCGAGTGGGGCCTGGACTGTGTGGAGCGGGGTTCCGCCGTAGCTCATCAGGGGCTCAAGATGGCATCGAGTCCCGATCATCATATCTGAAATGTATGTATGTATGTGTGTGTGCAGGCACATATGCATGTATGCATACACGCATTCAATCATGTATGTTTATATTTGGCTTTATCGATGCATGCATGTATGTATGTAATATGTACGTATACATGTAGGTCGATAGGTCGGCAAGTAGGTAGGTAGGTAGGTAGGTACGTATGTATATGTTGTATGTGTATGTATATGTGTATATATGTATACATATCAATACCGGGTCTGCTCGAGCCGATCCCCCAGGATGCGTCAGGGCGGTGTCGGTGTAGGTGCACACCCGTGCCCCGGGTGCTTCGATTTTGCTACAGCGTGGCACTTTAGAAGGCTGGACCCCTTTCGCGGGCCATTTCTTATGACAGTTTTTTTTGTTGTCGTTGGTTTCTGTATCTCCCTGAAGCCGAAGACGCGCAACGCCTCCCGCATTTTTGTTCCAAGGCTCGAGTGGGGAGTCTTTACAGTCAGCCCGCATAGTCAGGATGAACAAATATCCAAGGTTACCTTTGCATCCTTCCCTTTCGGCCCATCTTGGGCCGCTTCAGCTGGCCGCGCCCCATTCGCGAAGTGTCGACACCGCCCTCCAAGGCTCTGGCATCCTTCTCGTGCGTGGTTGACTGTAGGATCATGGGCCCTCGCCCGCTGCAGAAGTCGAAGAAGAATACTCAGCACAAACATATACTTTCTGAACTCCGCTGAGGTTTCCTGGATCGGCGCCAGGCGCACCCCTGGCGCCGCCTCCCGCGCTTCCATAGGGAGGGGGGTCCATCACTAGTCGAACAGACCCGCGCCGACCTCCGAGAAGTCATGTTCATGCAGTTTTTTTTGCTGCTCTGAGAAGGTGGACTGCGAGGGCTGCGAGTGGGGCATCTTCGCCCCCCTCTCCTGGGGCAGGCTGCGACACCGCGTGCGGCGCTCGGTATCGTTGAAAACCTGTCCCATCCCCACTGGGCCACTGGTATCTCAGCCCCACCATCCCACCAACCCAGTTGAGGCTATTAACAGTTTGAAACACATCCCTATCTCTGTTTTTGGCATCGTCTCGCCTCGATGCCGATCTCAAGGATTCCCTCAGCTTCTCAGGGCACATCCCTGAGATTGTCCTCGCTTTTCGCTCGCCCATTCCGGGGATGGGGATCGGCTCGAGGCTGGTTGGGCTAGGCCCCTCGAGGCTCGCAGGGCGCAGCCTGTGCTCCCTTTGGGGGAGCAGGGCGGCCAGCGGGGCCCTTGTGCGCCGCGCCCGTGGGGATAGGCCCGGGCGAACGGCTGCCCAGGCACGTGGCCGCAGAGCTGCACCGCTGGGCGCTGCCGAGCTCCCTGAGCGCGGCCGACGCCGGCGCCCTGGAGGCCTCGGTCCGCGGGGCCGTCTGCGCGCACGAGGCCGAGTTCGAGAACCTGCTGTGCTCGACGATGTGATCGCGGGCGGGGCCGGCCGCGCCGAGCTCGCCTCTGGGCGCCCCGCGGGCGCGGAGGTCGGCCTCTCGGCGTTCTCCCCGGCGCTCCCCGCCGCGGCCCGCCGCGCACGGGCGGCGGGCGCACCCAGCGGGGCCTCCCAGGAGGGGGTTGGGCTGGGTGGGGTCGGAGGATCGCGCCGCATGCGCCGGTGCATCGGCGACGCGGCTCGATGTGGGGCCGACCCGTCTCCACGCCGACGTCGCCGAGGCGTCGCCGACGCCGGCGTTGCATCGCCGATGCGTCGCAGGGGCGTCGCCGATGCGTCGGTGATGCGGCGCGGTCCTCCGACCTCATACTCGGACCCCATCTGGGAGGGCTCTCAGCCGCATCCATGCCCCTGCGGCCTGGATTCGGAAGCTGCTGAAGGTACCCCTTGCCCGAGGTGCCCCCAGCTTTGCGCTCCACTCTGAGGCCCCCCTTGGCCCTCCGGGCCCCGTGGAGGGGGGTGCTCTGGAGGCCGTGGGGCCTCCTTGGGAAATCCTGGGGACACGTTGGGCCGGGGGCACTTCCAGCAACATTTAAAAGTCGGCCCTGTCCCTCTACAGGGGGGACATTCCAAAATAGTAAGCAAAATGATATGGGGACGATTCTTTGGGCATGGTTTGACCACCATTTTGGAGCATTTCTGGGGTGTTTTTTAGATTTTCGTTCAAAAGCCCCCGGTAGGGGGACAGGCACGACCCAAAGCAACACTGGGCAGATGGGGAGCGCGATTCCGTGGGCACGCGGTCGCACGGGTGCGCGCCGCGCAGGGCATCCGCCCACGAGCGCCCCGTGGCCACGGGGACCGCGGCCCAAGGGGCGGCCCCCCCCCGCGAGGCCGCGGGTGCGGGCACGCCCGCCTCGTGCCGCCTGGGGCACTGCCTGGGCTCCCCGGATCCCAGTGCTGGGCTTCTGGGCTTTCAGCCTGCTGTCGCCTTGACCACCAGGAAGAATCTCGAGCACCAAGCTCCGAAACTGGAGGGTTTTCACGCGTCGGGCCCTGGGAGGCGGTGCTCGTTCGACACCGGTTCGATGCTTCTCTGGGAGCTCGACATCGTTTCTGGGATGTGGTCCTCAAGTACGATGGGAACAACGTAAGTCTCGGACGAAGGGCTGTCCACAGGTTGCGTTGCATCTTTGGGGAACCTCGCCTGTCCCCCAAATTGGTGTTTATTTGTGCCCGACGCTTGCTCGATGCGGACTCGACGCGGATCTGGCGTGGATTCGATTCCGGATCGACGTGCATTCGACGCTGGTTCGGCGAGTCCGCCATGGATTCGACGCGGATTCGACGCGGATAGGGGCGCGACGGGACAGACAATGTCCCCCGAGGATGCAGCATACCAGGGAAGCTGCGGGGGCGGTGTTTTTTTGGGCATTCTTGGGAGGTTCTCGCCGCCACGGCTGCATTGCCCTGGAAGTGCCAGCCAGAGTGCGCTCTGGGAAAGCTCTGGGGGTCGAGTTTTGAAGTCCAGTCACAGATCCCCCCGCGTCGCGAGAACATAACGATGGGCGATTTGTGGTAGTTCCCCACACTGCTCGCACTTGGGGGTTTCTAGCCTGGAGGAAAAACCACCCAGACCTCGACAATTGGCGTTTGCTAAACGGCCCTGTACGTTTACTAAACAGCCCTGCCCTGTTCGATTCCTTCCCTGGGTGCGTTTACTCAAAGGCTTCGCTTGCTGCGGTGGTTATATTATGGGGAGGGATTGTTTGACCTCTATCACTTTCTCATGGGGGACCGGGCCTGTGCGTCGGTCTGGCCGTCTTGTGGCCGCCCGTAGCTGCCCGTTTTGGTCACGATTTTGATTGTGCGAGGCTCGCAACTGGGACTGTGCGCTGTCCGGCCAGCTTGTGGCGGCCCCTCGCCGGCGTCCGTCGTCGCAGCATTTCGGTCATGACCTTGATTGCGCGAGGCTCGTATTTTGCATTGCTTTGCATTGCTTGTGTCGCCTTGCATTGCTTTACATTGCTTTGCATTGCCTTGCATTGCCTTGCATTGCCTTGCATTGCCTTGCATTGCCTTGCAATGTTTGTACTGCATTGCAGTGCTTTGCATCGCATTGCATTGCTTTGCGTTGCTTCGCGTTGATTTGCATGCCTTTGCATTGAGTTGCGTTGCTTTGCATTGCATTGCTATGCATCGCATTCCATTGCTTCGTGCTGCTTTGCTTTGCTGGGACTTTGTTTGCATTAGTCTGCATTACTTTGCATTGCTTTGCATTGCTTTGCATTGCTTTGCATTGCTTTGCATGGCTTTGCTTTGCATTGTTTTGCATTGCTTTGCATTGCCTTGCATGGCTTTGCATGGCTTTGCATTGCTTTGCGTTGCCTTGCGTTGCTTCGCATTGCCTTGCATTCCGTTGCATTGCTTCGCATTGTGTTTTATCGCTTTGCATTGCCTAATTATCATGGCTTTGCATTGCTTTGCGTTGCTTTTTATTGCTTTGCATCGCCTTGCATTGCTTCTCATTGCTTCGAAGTGCTTTGCATGGCTTCTTATTGCGTTGCACCGCTTTGCATTGCTTCGTATTGCTTTGCAGTGCTTTGCATTACGTAGAACTTCCTGTATGGCTTTGCATTTCTCTGCGTCGCACTGCATTGCTTCGCATAACTTTGCATTTGCTTGCAGTGCTTTGCATTGCTTTACATGGCTTTGTATGGCCTTGCATGTTGATTACATTGCTCTGCATGCTTTGCGCTGTGTAACATTTCTTTCCATGGCTTTCTGTTACTTTGGATTGCCTTGCATTTCCTGCATGGCTTTGCATGGCTTTGCACTGCTTTGCGTCAACTTGCGTTATCTTGCATTGCGTTGCATTGCGTTGCGCCGCATCGATTGCACCGCATGTATTCTCCTTCCTAAAAAGGGAATAGTTCTACCACCCTCCTCCCAAGACTTCCCGATTCCCTGGGAACCTATGCAATCACATATGATTTTGACCCCATGTCCATCCTACTGTTGAAGTCATACTATCCCAGCCAGGCCGGTATCGGCTCCCCATCGGTCCCCTTGCAAAACGTACTATGCGCGCGCATTCGTTTATCAACAAAACATTAATTTTCACGAGCCCTTTGCAAAACAAACTGAACGAAGTGCTTTTGCGAATTCTTAGGACAACCATTTTTCCTCAACATTTTCATTCATTGTTGCCAGACGGGCTCCGCGCGCGCATGTCGAAATCG